GTTGCTTGTAGAGAGAGAGAGAGATGTTTCTCCGATTGTCTCGAGTGGCGGGCGGCGGGGAAGGGGGAGGAAGCAGTGGCGTGACGTCAGAAGAAGGTGGAGGGGGGGGGGGTGGTGTCGAACGGCGCGGATGACGGTAAAAGCAGGCCATTGGTAACCGTAGAACGGGTGGCGACGCCGTGCGCAATGCGCGGCGTGGGCCGGCACAGAGATGGAAACAACGCGCGGCACAGCTGGGTGCCTTGCGACTGGTGCAAGACTCTGGCACTCATATCTTCCGTACATGGACACGTGGCTCCTGGAGTTGAGCTTCTGCGCCCTATAGGACGGTCAGTCCCCGTCGTTCCTCTCAGCACCGCTGATCTGCCCATCGCTATTTCAAATAAACGTTTGACGCTTTATAGAATGCGTTTTATTTCTCTAACAGGTAAATTCAGTGCAGAGGGGGTGCGCTTACAGATACAGAGGCGTCGCTTTACTGTACCAATTTATTTCGCTGCGTCGCTTTGTGGTACCGTAATTTATTAGCGTCGCTTTGATCAAATTTATTCAAATTCTAGGAGGGGGCCGATGCTGTATCACATGCGTCGCTTTTTTATTTATCATACATACTGTAAGCAATTAAGGTTTATAAAGGAAAAAACACTCCCCCAAAACAACAATCGCAAAGGGATGATATGGCAGAGCGGTCTAATGCGTGTGACTAGAAATCACATCCCTTCGGGGGCCCAGGTTCGAATCCTGGTATCATCGCGACCTCTTTTTTTTTGAATTCTGGTTCCCCGTCCTCATGGCATAGCACTCGCATGGTACAGGAGCTCGTAGTACGAGCCTCGTACATAGACATGCACCGTGGAAAGGATACACCTGTGAAAAGCGGCTGCATTTTAAAGCTTTCGTGGGTCACTCACCTGAGTAGAGACAGACTGAATGCGAAAGCATGCGCCAATGGAAAGCCGGCATGTCCATACTGTGCTTCGTAAAGAACGCGAACTCTGTAAATTACGATTGCTTACTGACCTATCGCACTTGGAGCGGAGAGAGGGCAGACCGCTGACGGTCTTCAAAGACATTCAGGCGCAAGGCTGATCACTTTGCTGCTTGCCTTGCTCAGGATCTTGATGTATCTGTCATGTTGATATTGACATGTGGCATGATGCTCTCGTCTCGTGAGAGGTTACAAAAAAATTGTCTTTGTTTACCAACATAATTCAAAGAGATGGTACAGTATGGGTTGTGTGTGCACGAAACTCAGCAGAAAAAGAAAAGAAAAAAAGTTGCCTCCAAGAGGTGCTTCCAAAAGGTAGATTCAGTACGAAAATGCGACGTGCTGTTTGGCATCTCTATATTTTTCATTTCCCGTTTTTGGGTTTCGTAAAACTCTTACAGCACAGGCTTTCATTTAATGAAAGCCTGTGCTGTAAGAGTTTTACGAATTTTGAGAGAGGAATGCTCAACGGTGTACTGTAATGCGCAGTTGTACTGTAAAGCACCGCATGTCCAACAACGTCCCACCTCCTAATTGGCTGCTTTCTCTCTTTTAATGTCGTTACGTTTCCCCATGGTCCGCTTCCATGGTCCGCTTCCATGGTGCTGTACAGGGATCCCTGGGTACAGCGCACTGTCTTCCCGTTGCATCTCTTCGTCACCCTTGAAAGCGAATCCTCGCATGCTAAATCCCACCGACCCCCTGCACCGTCCCGCCATTACCTGTCTTCCCACCCCTGCCCCGCACCCCCAGCACTGCCATCCCACGCCCCACCATGACTTCCATCTACGAGCCCATCGCGCTCTCGCGCTCCTTCCCGAAGATTGCCGTCGTGTGCGGCGCGGAGACCGCGCTGGGCCAGGCGCTTCTCCGCGAGCTTCTCCTCTCCTCTGAAATCGAGAAAGTCCACTTCATCGCCCGCTCCGACCCCGAAATCCTCTCCCAGTTCCGCCGCTCCTACTTGCGCAAGGTCCGCGCCCACATCGTCTCGTACGACCATATCGACCGCGCCCTCGCCAAGATCCCGGAGGCCGACGTCGCCTTTTGCTGCGTTGGCACGGACCGCCACGCCTACGAGACCATCGGCAGGACCAAGTTCCGCACCATCAACTACCACGCCCCGGCTAAGTTCGTCGCAAAGATGTTCGAGATCGGCGTCTTGACCGTCTCCGTCCTCTCGCATCCAAAAGCTGATCTGTCGAGCTCGTCCCAGATGCATATGCTCAGGGGACAGCTAGAGGATAACATCCGAAGCTTGAGGAGGGAGGCGGCTGAGTTTTCTCCGTTTGTTACCATATTCAGGGTTTCTGGCATGACTTCCAGTTCACGGAAGAGCGACATCAGAGATGTGGCGAAGGCTATGCGCATTGACGCCATGCACATGTCGGCACGGAAACCAACGACGGCGTCTGATAGCAGGAGAGGCCGGTACGAGGAATTTGATTTTACCGATGTCGACCAAATTCTCAAACAGGCAAGGCATGATAATGACTACCATCACGGAAATCGCTACTGGGAAGATTGATCTCTTTATCTTGTATCGCTTATGCTCGTTATGCAGCAAGCTTCTGTACATACACCTACCTGCTATGCATTGGCTTTTCAATGGCAACTCAATTTTCTAATTCTTCCAGCAGCCGTTTTAGTGGCGGGATTACATCCGACAATTGCTGTTGTATGTTCAGCGCACTCTTGTGCGTCATTTCGCCCAAAATCTCGACTTTTAGAGGGTCGTCAGATACAAGGTCGCCGACTGACCTTGGAATAGCTATTCGTTCGTCGTTCTATATAGTATTGATGGCAATCTTTGCGTCCGACTCTATTGTAAAAAGAGCATCCCCGGGCAACACAACACACCTCTTCGGTTTCAAAGGTCACTTTCTTTTCGTCGCGTCTTCTTTTTTCGCGCTGAGCGGAACCATTGCTTGAATTTCCGGGATACACTCTGCATTGATCCAGTGATTGGTGATGGGCTCTGAATATCTGGATCGTCCAAGACAGACCCAACGTCATTGATGATTTCCGACATGTTCCAGAAATGGTATTTCGTAAAAAAGGAGTCGATGGTGATGCTTCCCAGAATAAGCCACGCAGCACTCAAGGGAAACACCGCCACAGGATGTACTCTAAAAATGCTCAGCAGTAACACCACCACACCTGTCATGAGACTCAATCCGGCACAACTATTCAAAGTACCCATTAACCGGATGAAGAAACCAAATTTCTTCACAAATTCATGGATAGTGCCATCTGCCTTCACTTGGGTGAATGCCATTTGTCGTACAATCAGGTCAGACAAGATTGCACTTACCATTCCACATGAAAAAGCCAAGGACCCAAGAAAACTGCCATATAAATCACAAAACAACCAGTAGTTAGTGACGTGCGCGTGTATCGCAGAAGTATTGTCGAGTTTGCACACAGGATCCATGATTGGCTCCTAAGGCGTGTCCCATTCATGTGAGTCTTGCCGCATGTCCTCGAAGAATATCGACTCAACTTCGGAGCGGTATGTACACACATACCTGAAAATTGCAAATGTTACTTGAGCACCCCGAACTGCGCTGCTGATTGTTCCCGCCGCAAACAGTTCCGGATCTGGCACCCCTCGCGTAGCAATAGTAAGGCTTGTGAATGAAAACGCCGACGTTTGACGCTGAGGAAGGTTCAAAAGAGGAAGAGAGTCATGGAGAATACAAGGACAACGTTAGCGACACTCTGTGAACCGTTGATTTTCCCCATTCTTAGACAACACAAAAAAGGAGTTGCTTACCCCGAGTGTGCCGGCGGTCTGTAGCACCAGTGAAACTGCATCGTTTAGCTGTTGCTCAGTCATCCCGATCATCCAGGTTTCATCCATGTAAGTGGAACCATAAATTCTCTCCACAAACATCGAAGCTTGGTATAACTGAAGAATGCTACCATTTCGTCCCTCTCCCTCATCTTCACTTTCTACCTGTTCTACTTGAACATCACTTTGTCCACGAACTGAAGACGTCGTGCCGAGCACAACTTCCATATTATCCTGAGTGCTTCGAGCAGTGCTGATAGAAGCCATTGACCCACTGGTATTGGGTCGAATGCTGACAGCAGTGAAATGGCCATCTCGTCGACCTCGCTCATATGGAGTTCCTTTTGCAGCCCTGTCCAAAAGCGCATTGCTATATCTGGATCTATATGACGCAAACAAAAGCAGAAGAGCGATAGAAACGCCGGTCAGAAGTGCAGCAAAAAGACTCCAAAATGTAATCAGTCGATTCCCCTCTTCCCAAGAGTGAGCAAGGGATGCAATTGGCATGCTAATAAAAACGGCGGAACCAAACCAACTTAGATCGGCACCCCATTTACCGGGATAAGGAAGATACTTGAGCAGAGATTCTTTGAAGCTGCACTTTCTCCGTGTTTTGGAAAGATAATCTCCTTGAAATAGGCAGGCGAATGCGGATTCTTTCAAACCCTGGTAAGGCGCGGTGAGAACCCCTTCTGGTGGGGTAAGTGACCCCAATCGTTTCAACAGGGTCCACACAAGGTTTTGTGTCCTCCAATCTGGATTCCAATCCGAAACCCAACCTGCAGTACTGAGTGCACGACCCAGAGAGTCATGCTGCTCATGGAAGTTAATGGTCACGTCTTCCAGGAAGCTGACCATCATCTCATCACTTATGAGTGGGTTGGCACCCATATCCACAGGCGCCAAGGCAGCATCTATTCTACGCTGTCGCGGCGCGTTTGCCAAGGCCGGCGATACGCAGAGCACGTCGCATAGGTCGTCCACAGAGTCGCGGATACAGCGTTGAAAAAGACGATGCAGTTGCTTCCTTGCCTTCTCTGTGGCTATGAAACTTGTGGATCGACGTGTCGAAGTCCATCCTCCCCTTGATCTCATCCCCGACTGATGGCTGTCGGCATGCGCGGTTACACCTCCACGCTCTTTCGCGTATCGCTCGGCGGCGTCGAAGGCTTGCAGCAACTCGCGGGCAAAGGAGGAGATGGGATCATCTTCGTGAGTGCGACTTTCTCGATTTGGTGGTTGATCCATGCCAGGAGTGAGCTTGCGTTTATCCTAGATGGTGGTCTTCGGAACGTACTGTAGAACGAGGAACTACTGTCGAGTTGGATATCTGCAGCTCAACATGGACCAGATCATCAATGGGACTAGAAGGGAGAAGCCGGCAAGACGGGTGGACATTTTGGAATTCGCGGACAGCGAGGACGACTAGCCTTTGTATCAAAATTGTTGTTCACTTAAAAGTCTTGAGTGACATGAATTCTACGACGTCTGACCAACTTGAACCCGAAGTATGGTTTGCATTCCTTCAACAGCCCTGCACGGAACACGTGGAATTCATGCCGTGATTTGTTCACTTCCGATTCAGGTTGTTGACAACCAAGACTCACAGTTGACATCAACTGAGGGTGTGTCTTAACAGGCGCTTGTTTGCCCGTGTTTGCCCGTGTTTGCCCGTTTTTTGTTGAAGAAATTAAAAAAACATTTTGGACACGTGGGCAGCTGTACAAACTCCTTACACCCTCCCTCTGCAGCTCTGACAATATTTTGTCAGCCTTAAACCTAGGGTTATAGTATACACTGCGGCGCTACAAGGTCGTCTCGCTGATCCTCTACTCTCAGGGTGAGGGCCTCCTTTAAGACAGCATGGACAGCCATGTTTGGATGTATATGTTTGCGATTTTCAAAATATTACATGTCCAATAATTTAGTGTATTGTGTCAGCGCGCCGTGATCCGTAAATTGGCTCAAGGGGTGCATCATACCGGGCTATCGATAGGGAAGCGAACGGTCTTTCTGAGCAGTGATGCAAGGAAGTGGCAGCAAAAAAGCCGCAAATCTCATTATCTTACAGTGCCTGGTTCGATATAGTGCCGTTTTCGGCCCACTGACAGAGGAAGGCACTATATCGCGATCCCCGTGTACTGGCATTCAGGGACGTCAATAAAATGATTAAATTGAATTTTAATGTATGCTAAATTGGATCAAGATTGAATTCAATCGCACTTATGCGGTAGACGACAGCCAATGGTGTGCTCTCGTATGGCACGTTGGTAGCGACAGATTCCATTATATTAACTTTGTGTGCGCCATCATACTGTTAAGAAAAGTATTAAATGGACCAATCAGGTGCACGCTGACGTCCATACATGTCCAAACATGCCCGTCCATGCTGTCTTAAAGGAGGCCCTGAGTCTTGTTGACGTCACCTCCTGAAATTCTGGGTCATGTCCCAATTACAGTGAAGACAAGAAAAGGATATTCAGGCTTACATTACAGACGCGTTCGCGTGCAGACCCATTCGGACCACTCTATCATTCACACAGCAACCCTAAACTGAGCCGGCCTCCGACTGCATACCGGATCCCGCTGATCCAATTGCCCGTTTTGATCATCCCACGGCCGACGTCCCTCCTCATTGCCCAAGATTCTACCTTCGTTGTCCACATCGTCGTCCAGTGCACGACATTTCCCCTACACACCCCACGCCTTGAGCATTCGGCGATTATCGTTGAACCAAGATGGCTCCTCACAAGATCCAGAAGGAAAAGGGCGCTGAGGCCTCGGAGTTCGAGACTCACGTCGCACAGGCGTTGGCGGATCTGGAATCGAGCGGCTCCGAAATCAAAGCCGAGCTGCGCGAGCTTTTCATTTCCTCCGCCAAGGAGATTGACATTCCCGGCGGGAAGACGGCCGTCGTCCTCTTTGTCCCGTACCGTCTCCTCACCAAATTCCACAAGATTCAGACCCGTCTCGTGCGCGAGCTGGAGAAGAAGTTCTCTGGAAAGCCCGTCATCATCATTGCCCAGCGCAGGATTTTGCCACGGGAAAAGAAGGGTGGCCGTCTGCAAAAGCAAAAGCGCCCGCGGTCCCGCACTCTCACTAGCGTACACGAGCAGATCCTCGAGGATCTGGTCTTCCCCACCGAAATTGTCGGCAAGCGTATTCGCTACAAGGTCGACGGATCGCGCTTGCTTAGGGTCTTCCTTGATCCTAAAGATCAACAAAACGCAGAGTACAAGACCGCGACTTTTCAGTCGGTGTACAAGAAGCTTACTGGCAAAGACGTCAGCTTCGAGTTCCCGATCACGGCTGAGTAATATCATGGTATCGAGCACGTTCGTTCAGTCTGGAATACTTTTCTTGCCGTGAGGGACGCGGGGTAGTTCACAATAAGGTAAAGCTCCAGATCTATTCCAGGTGCCGTAGTCGCCAATCCTATGAGCATACCGCCAAGTGCGCAATAGTTGAGCGAGCGATATTATCATTGCCAAACTGCTCTACAAGAGGCTCGAATAAAGATGCCTAGCCTTAACTGCCACTTTTCACCTGCCTGTATGTAACTGACTCCCGCGTTTGCGCCGACTAGCATTTCATTTAGACACTAGGATCCCACGATTGTCATCTATTGTTCGCGATTGAAGTTATCGGAGTCTTGCACTCGTTCGTTTGACTTGGAGAATGAGCCGCGAATGAACAGGCATCCCCATGTGCAGTGGTCATGAGAATGATCGCTCTGGCCTCGCAAGGTCTTATTTCCTGTTAAAAACAAAAGCGAACCCGAAGTATGGTGCGTCTGGAAATCGTGCTTGATGTGCATATCGGCGAGAAAGGGAAGAGATTATGCTGCAGCGTGAATTATGAAACCGATGGCTCAACCGAGCGTGCTGGATTAGGTTCTTGTTAGTGCCAAACGGGCAGGTGCTGGGGAACGCCATGTTCCTTCTGTGGTCATCGATGGGACAATGCCAGCAAGAGCACCAACTGTGTCAAAAAGCCACCAGAGTACACACTGTGTTAGAGACTATTTCGTAGATCTTAGTATTATGCGCTGGGCAATGGGAAGCGAGGGGCGCAGAAAAAAACCACAGGACTTGTAAAACCCAGCAGGCGACCGCATATCTCCTAGACCTGCCGAATATTCCCTTTAACGCATTTCGGGTTTTCCAAACCCCTACGATAATGGGAGAATCATCTGCACGAAGGGGGAAAGTGGTAGCGTGTGTTCCCAGCTGCGTTTTGCTCACTTTTCCATAGGTAAATTGTACAGGCGATAGCCCGCCCTGCTGCCCTCAGGAAAGCGTCCGTGCAGGCGTGTCAAGGCAGAGAGACCTGCGACGCCTACCTCCTGGCCAACACTACTTCCATTGCTCACCAATTTTGTCCTCTCACCAATTTTGTCCCTTTTGCCTTCAATAGACCTTTATCACAGAGCCAAGCTAATTTGCCAGTTATGACCCGGTATACGAATTGCAGCACCGCAATGAAATTGACGGCTATTATTAGCCAACTTAGCTGCATGGCTATTACGATAAATCCCAACCATTTTTACATTTTTTTTTTCTGAAATTGCCTCGTCAATACGTGAGCGGAGAATTTTCGGTGATGAGCATCACCTGTCGGTTCGTGGTTATACCAAAACATTTCCCAGTCCGCGAGGACAAAATGTGAAATTTGTACCACACCTCCTACGCTATGTGCAGGTCTTCGCTGCAGTAAGCAACGTTTCGACAAAAAGCCAGTCTCTTTACGTATTCATGCTGTCTTTTCGCAAATACGAGTTTACTTCATTTGAGGTCCAATGTCTATGTACCTTGATGGTACCTCACGTATTGGGGCTTTTCAAATGGCACAAAGCACATGCTGTACAGTCCAGTGCACGATTTAGTGCTAGGGCGTGCCACAACGCAAATTGTGGCACTATTGGGGTGACACTATGACAAGAAGCTTTCATGTAGGGCATAAAGGGCACATTTGGCACTGTACGCCATGTATCTTTACGTGTTGTATCAGATACAGTAAACATCGCCCAATGGGCGACTCCGAAAAACATAAAAACACATTTTGTGTATGCGCAAATCTGCCGATTTTGATTGAGTCGGAGGTGTTTGTGCATACACAAACCGCCGATTTGCTCTTCGTTCCCCTCCCGATGTAATTGTTTGTGCACAGACACAAACGCACATCCGCACCCACCTATACCACCCTATATCATACCATGTGCTCAAATATTTCTCTGCGATCTGTCCGATCAACCCATCCCACCCCTCGGCAACCTCGTTCCTATTTCGATCTGGCCTCCCTCCACACTTTCCCTCCGTCGTATCAGCCGCTGTCCAACCCCGCAGCCCAACGTCTACATGGCTCATGTTGCCGACTCCGACGAGGAGCCGGCACCCGATATTTGTCCCCAAGCCGGCGGCTCCTTCGTCAGTATCATAGGATAGGGCGTGAAGGGGGTACCGCAATCCGTCCGCCGGCGTGCTGACACCTCACTGAGGGTGAATTGGCATTAAATGTGTCTTACACAAATTTTTGTTCACATGCATTTCCGTGCCAAGGCACAAAATACGACACACATACACAAGGAAATTTGTGTGTACACAATTTATGTTTTTCGGAGTCGCCCATTAGACTAGTAGACCTTTTCAGTAGGCATGCATCTTTTGCACAGTGATTACCTGTTCTCCGTTGAGTCCTTGCTGTACCTGTTGAGCGCTAAACACCACCCCAAATATTAGACAATTACTGAGAAACTGTATCATTACACTAAAGATTGACAAACAGATGATATTGTCCGCGATCTTTTGACAGCGCTGTAACCTCTCAAAATAGATACGTATTGCCCAGACAGTCATAGACCACGAATTTGACAGCATGTCTGAAGTGCATGCGCGATTTCTCTTCCCGCCCATTTTCAAAAAAATCACAGAACCCGCCTAATCCTTTTCGCAATAAGAGTCATGTGCAGTACAGTACCACTTTCGCCTTCAAGCAGTCTCGAGATCCAACACCGCACGATGAGCCACAACGTCGACACATCACCTGGAGACGCGCTTCGGCTTCTCGCGGAATTGGCTGCAGAGCGGAGCAACGACCTCAACCAGTACGATTATGACGCTGCGGAAATTGACAGCGATGAAGAGACTGACTCAGATTGCCCAATTCTTGACTCTTTTGTTGCGGACGGGGGGAAAATCGCAGTGCTACAGATGACGAACTTTACACTGGCGGAGTATCGAGGGCTTTATGACCGTCTTCGCCCCTTTATAGCCCAACACTACAACGTCGGTCGGGTTAAACGTTCGAAATATAAGGCCAAGGATGTTTTGTTTATGGCGTTATGCGTGTGCAAAAACGGGACCATGTGGGACTTTGCAGCCAAGATGTTCAACATGAAGAGCACGTCCTTCAAGAGGCTGGTCACGAGTTTTATCCGCATGGTCACCCCCTTTGCGTATAAAACGTACGTCGAGCGCTCTGCAGATAAGTTCACAATGTCACGAATTTTTGAGGATCAGTCACACTTTCGTGTATACGGCATGGCGAGGTATGCCACGTGTAGTATCATTGCCAGGATGTGTACAGTACCCGACGGCGCCTGTTCAATACAGGCGCACGCCCACACGTGTGCAGTACACGCGCACGCGCACGCTCACACGGGCATTACAGGCGGACGCCTACACGTGTGCCTTACAGGCGGAAGATCTACTGTATACATTACAGCCCGGAGGTTGTATATGACAAGGTACAGTAGTAATGGCACAGTACAGTGCATTACATAATAGAGTACAAAAGTACAGTAGGACGGACAATGTCCAAGACCCCGCGACCTCGCTTATTTAAGCGACGGCGCCGGGCAATGACAGTAAACAGTCAAGGATCTTTTGGGAACGGATTTCCTTCGACGGTGCGACACCGCGGGTCAAGACAAGCCTCTGACTTAGGCGACATTCAGCATCTGTCTTGCGACGTTTCCCTGGCTTCTATTGCCTTTACCTTACCTTTTCCATTCCTCCGTCTTTGCGACTACGCGGGTTAAGACTAGCCTCTAACCTCGGCGTGTTACTGTCGCTCGACGTTCCAATTGTTTTCCTTTTTACTCTGTCGTTGCGACCACGCGGGCTAAGACTGGCCTCTAGCCTGGGCGTATTACTGTCGCACGACCTATTTCTCTCTCCCTGCATTGTGACGATTGTCAAGTCGCGGGCTACGACAAGCCTCTGGCCTTGGCGGCACTATTGACATCTATCCCGCTCGATCCCTCTAGGAGTTTCCGCTACTCGGCGCTCCGCCCGTGTCTGACACTAGTCTTTAGGCTCGGGTTCACCCCTGTTTTGTGTGTTCTTACACCACCCCTTCCAGTGCTGGTCCCATTCCGGGTCCGCACTTCGACCAGTACGTCGTGCTTTTACAGTCGGCCAACGTACTCCCCCTTTGCTCTACCACAGTCCCGATCTACCGCGGGACACCCCCCTTTGGTTGTTACCTCTTCCTCGAGCTAGCTCATAGCTGGCGACCGCCACTATACTACACCACGGACGTGACGTTTCACCAAAGCAACCGTCCACGCGGAAATCACGAGGAAGCCAAAGGTCATTTTAGTGGAAAACACAAAATGTATGGGTATAAGACCGAGGTGAGTGTGTTGCCAAATGGTCTAGCCATTGGGGCAAGTAGACATTTTATGGGATCAGTCGCCGATGTCGATATATTTTATGATAACCTCGAGTGGCACAAGTTGGAACTCCGCAAAGCTCAGACAGAGCGCACTATGACTGATGTTGGACCTCTAGTCCAGCGGTTTCCCAGATATTGGGCTGTCCTGATGGACAAGGGCTATCAGGGGGCTGCTCGGGAGGTACGCGCTATCATTCCTGTCAAGAAGCCAAGGGGTCGAGAGTTGACAAGGGAAGAGGTCCATGGTAACCGAGAAATTTCGTCCGACCGCATTATTGTCGAAAACTGTTTTGGTCGACAGTGCATACTTTGGGTTCTAATGGCGAACAAGTGGAGGTGGGCTGAGTCTAACTACAACATGTTTTTTCAATTCACATTGGCCTTGACGAACGTGCATGTGCTTCATCACCCGCTTAGAGAAGAAGATGGTGCGAGGCGGAGGCAAATTTTAAACAGGCGTTTTCACATAATGCAAAGTACAGCTGTGAAACGGCGCCGTGTTCAGGAGCGCTACCGGGTTCGCAGGCGTGCGCGTATCGAGCAAAGGTTGCCCAGCAGGTCATATGCGCAAGGGGCAGGTGCTATGTCTGATGAGGAAGAGCTGTAACTTCACTTTTGTCGCATATCTGAGGAACTGAAGGGATTACTGTAGTGAAGGCCGAGTTCGGCAGTTTGTAGTGATTTACGAGGTTATGCTGTATATGCGATACCATTTAAATCAAATGCAATTGAAAACGTCATTTCGTAGACATTCTGTTTTCCACTGCCCACATCATATCTGATGTGGTGGACCGTGACTGCTCTCAAGACCTAGTGGGAGCGTTGGACAGCAACATCGAATTTCGTGGTCTGCAGCTGCCATAATTGGCGCTCTTACTCGATTTTCACAGGGCACTGCAAAACGATGTGGTAGAAGCAGTTGTGCATCAGATAAATTAAGTTTGTTTCATCAGGAAATCATAACTTGGATGATAAGTTTATCGTCCTACTCAAATCCTGCCTACTCATTATCATTACGGAGCAGCTCGTCCCACATATCGTCATTTCCAAGACCTCCAATTTCCTGGAAACGTCGTTGGCCTTGCGTTACAACAAACCGCAAGCAAATTTCCAGCCATCCGAATACCTCCTCTGATTGACACAAGGCTTGCGACCAAGCTCTCCCACCCAGCTCTACAGCTCTCTTCCATATGATAGCGAATGCCTTTGTCTCAGGGCAAATCTTAGTTAAGGGGGGCAGAGGGAAAGACTCCTTTCGTAGCCGATGTCGGTAATGACCGTCTATCCTGTTCCATTCCCTCGTCTTTCTGCTTAGAACTGGGAGAAGCCGATCTACTTTTCCAGTAGCTGCGTTGATTGACGCTGCTGCACTTCTAGATTGGGGGTAGATCTGTGGTCTGGAATCATCGCAACTTGTAACAGGGAAGAAGTGCGCAGGACTGCACTCATCGTTCTCGTCGAAGAAATAGGTACCAAGGAGCCTTAGAAGCTCGCCTTGAGGTCCTTTTCCACACTTCCTGGCCATTTCCTTCTTGTCCGATGAAGAAGAAATACCGATAATGTCGCACAGATGGGAAAATGTCTTGAACAATATGCGAAATTCCGAACTGTGTTGCAGTGGCAGTTGTGTGTATGAGAATCCAGGAAAGAAAAACACTGAATCCGAGCAAGAACTTGATCTTACATGGAGTGAGAGGCTCTCAAATTGTCGCAGAGTGCATTCTACACGAGCCCGTATAATCCCGGCACGGATCCCGCCAACGCAGCGCATCGAATGATCCTGTTCAGGATCATCTTTCTTTCTCTAGAGAAACTGTGAGCGCTTGTATTATACCTCCCTGCATCTTTCACGAATGCGGGGTAGTACGCAACCAGCACTGACGCACTTCAAGTGTTGATCATCTGTCTTCCGCAAGGTTTCGAGATGGTGCGACACCCTTACTGGCTCTCTTTTAATTTTTTCAACCTCTACAGCGAGGGCTGCGTGCCCAGCGCGAAGAGATTTCACGTCTACCTCGTTTTTGTTTCGCATTCTTACTTCGCTCCTGTCCCTGTTCAGAGCTCTCCTTTTCTTTGGACCCATGATGGCGAGACTGACATATTGAGAATTCCCAGCACCCCAGTTCTCATCTTCGGAGCTCGTGTCTGAAGCATCGGCATGCTCACTTCCGAATCTCCATTCGATATTTCGGTTCGTAGGACATGAAAGGCAGCTCTTTCATATGTGGGTCGGAGACGGCCATAACAGAATCAAAGTGGACGTGGATTAGATCTGATCATGAGGAGTTGTTGAATGCTGTAGACGAGTCAAACATTGGAACATGATGAGAGTTGGGTTAAGAGGGACTTGAGTAAGATAAGAGGCGGTGCTGAGTTGTTGCGTATAAATGAAATACCGGATGCACCAGTGGATTCAATGCTATTGAGGCGGATTGAGGTAAGAATGAGTGTATGGCCAATGTATACAGGCAGATGCACTGCCGTTTGTGTAACTTAATGTGTACCTTATCATATACCTTACATCTTTATTTACAACAGAGCTAAGACCCCGGAGCTACGGGCTCGCCAGTGCGGGGGTCCAGGCAGATCGGATTGCCGACAGTACGGACGAGAGTGCGTGCTTCAGCGAGTGTAGCTCGCGAGACTGACGTAGGAGCTGCAACGGCGGCGCGGGCGGCAGCGAGTGTAAGGACGGAGGAACCCGGGCGTGTGTGAACACTTGGCAAATGCAGAGGGGCAGGCGGGACAAACGGAGAATTGGGAGATGTTGCAGGCATTTTGCAAGAGAGGGAGGCAGGGCAACGCGGA